CTGGCGGCCGCCCTCGACCGGCCCCTGCAGCGTGCCAAGGACAGGGTGGGTGATGGGCAGCCTCGGGCCCCAGAACCCCCCCCACGATGCCTGGGTCCTTCCCAGGCCTGTTCCCACTCCAGCCCAGGACTCTCGGGTCTCCACTGGGTGTCTGGGTCTCCCCTGTACCCCCCCCAGGATGCCCGGGTCCCCGCCAGCATCTCCCCCAGGACACCCAGGTCCCTCTTGTCCCCCTGTAGGACACGGGTCCCTCCTAACCCTACCCCCTAGGCCACCTGTGGTGTTGTGTTTTCCGCCCCCCCCCCCCGCCCCCGCCCCCCGCCCTCCCCTGCTGCTGTTCCTGGATGGGGAAGAAGCCTTTGGGGACTGGAGCGTCACTGACTCCCTCTACGGCGCCCGGCATCTGGCGGCACGTATGGCCGCCAGCCCCCACGGGCCCCGTGGCACCCAGATCACTGCCATGGTGAGTGGCACCGAGCCCTGCGGTGGTGGTGGGGGTCTGGTGGCACCCAAGGGTGGTGGCATGGCAGTGGGGTGGTCTGGTGGCACCCAAGTGTGGTGACATGGCGTTGGCCCAGCTGGGACAGTCCCACGGCATCTGAGGCTGGTGTCCCCACGGCCATGCTGGTGTCCCCAGAGTCTGCTGGTGCTGCTGGACCTGCTGGGCGCCCGCCACCCCGCCACCCCCAGCCACTTCTCCCGCACCCACCACTGGTTCCTGCGCCTCGTCGCCATCGGTGGGACATGGGGATGGGGCTGCAGGGGTGGGGATGGGGTTGGGATGGGGACAGGGCTGGGGATGGGACGGGATGGGATGCAGGGACACAGATGGGGATGGGGCACAAGTGGGATGTGGGGATGGGGCCACGGGTGGGGAACAAGGTGGGATGGGAACAGGGCTGGGGTGGGGACAGGGAGGAGGCTGGGGCCGGCACAGAAGGTTCTGTGCCACTGTGTCCCCCATGTTCCTGGTGCAGAGCAGCGTCTGCAGCGGCTGGGGCTGCTGCGCGCCCCCCCCCAGGACCAGCCCTTCTTCCGCCTCAGCCCGGCCCCAGGACCCGTTGAGGACGACCACGTCCCCTTCCTCCAGCGAGGTGACGTCCCCTGGGGTGCACCGTCCCCGCGTCCCCATGCCGTGTGGCTGGGGCAAGCAGCAGGGTGGGCGGCAGGGGTCCTGCGGGCCGATGTTCTGGGGGGAGCGCGTCCTCCATTGTGTCCTGTGTCCCCACAGGTGTCCCTGTGCTGCACCTCATCCCCATGCCCTTCCCGCGCGTGTGGCACACCCTCGAGGACACCGAGGACAACCTGCACCCCCCCACTGTGGAGGACCTGTGCAAGATCCTGGTTGCCTTCGTGGCCGAGTTCCTGCAGCTCTGAGCCCCGCTGTCCCCCCCAGGGGACTCCGGGCAGCCCTGGACTGCACTGACAGCCACCAGTAAAGTGCTTGGTGACCAATGCTGTGTCCTGTGCTGTCACCTGCCACTGGGACACCCCTGGGGACAGAGACAGGCGAGGCATGGGGACCCATGGGGACAGAGAATAGATATCCCAGGGAGCACCAGGGCCATTAGGGAGGGCAAGGAGCACTATTGGGGTCCTTGGGGACTGCGGGGAGCACTACTGGGGCCACGGGGGATCAGCTGGAGCAGGGCCAGGGTCCCTCTGTGGAGCAGCCAGGCCCCTCAGCCTCCCCTTCCCCTGCCCCAGAGGAGCCAAGATCCCAATTCCTCCAAAAAGAAGAACAAAAAAACCCCCCATTTTATTGCTTGTACCGTACAAATCCGAGGGCAGGTGAGAGCCGCTGGCCAGCCACTGCTACCACGACGGGGATGCTGGGCTGCTGCACCTACCGCTGCCTTGTCAGAGGCTCTCGTTCCCCCGCCCCACTCTGGTATTTTTTAAGTTAATTCAACTTAATTTGGGCAACTAGAAACTATGTAAGAAAAAGTGACTTTTCTTGGTTCCTCCTGGCAGGGAAGTGGTACCAGGCACCCAACTCCTACCTCCAAACCGCAGCCCTGCTCTCAGCTGCGCCAGGAGACGCGGGGCGGGAAGTCCAGCTTGTCACTGGCCCGGCTCGTCAGTGCAGGCGCCGTGGCGAAGGCAGTGCTTCCCCCAATGCCGGGTCCCACCAGCACTGCGCTGTGCCGGTGGGGTCTGGAGCAAATGGCCCCTGCAACAGCGGCCTTTACCAAAAGGCATCCATGGAGCATCTGTCGGGTGTGGATCCATTGCCGACAATGGTGCATGCCAGAAGAAACCCAGTCCTGGCACTGGTAGCTGGGGCTGCCAAGCCAGCGGTGTGGCAGTAAGAGCCCTGTCCGTCTGCAACACGGTGCCAAGACCGGAGGCTGTTGGTTCCGGTGATGCCATCATCCACTGCAGATGCCGGAGGACGTGGCTGGTGTCACCGAGCCTGCCATCACGACGGCTCCTGGCTTTAAGGCACCGGAGAAGCCAAACTATTGCTTTTAGGCGTGTGTTTTCCTTAGGGCCGTGCTGACCAGCCACAGGATGAATGTGCTCCCCTCTGCCGAGGTGCCAATTCGGGGTATGATTGGTTTTCGGTCGCTGCAGGTTCAGTTCAAAGCAGAGCTGGGAGGATTTGAGGGGCTGAGATGTGCCCCCCCACAGTCTTGGGAGGGTCCTGCCCTGTCATCCCCCTTCCTTGGGGCAGCCAGCATGAGATCTCAGCTATGGCTTGTCCCCCTGCCCCTTCTGCTGTCAAAACAGCTTCTCCCCAACTGTGAGCAGTGGGTTTTACTGGGTGGAGGGCTGGCCGAGCTTCCAGGGGGTCAAGGCCACAGTTGTGGGGAAGTGGGGGTTGGCTTAAAAAGCTGCGAGCACTTCTAGGAGTTTAAAAAATAATAATAATAATAATAATTAAAATCAAAGCAGTCCTAGGCTAGGGGCAGGAGGCATGGCTCGGTGCTGGTGGGAGCCACAGAGCAAGAGCACTTGGTGGGGTATGGCTTCTGCCAGGCGCCCCGGCGCAATGCCAGCAAGCTGCGGCGTCCCGCCCCCCCTTCTGCTGGTCACAGAAGAGAAATCCCCCCTGCTGTGAGTGAACCCCCAAACCCTCCTCCTCGGAGGCCAAATCCTGCTGCTGCCGGTTACTCCCGTATGCTGGCAGAGTAGGAGAACTGGGGGAAGTGTGTCCGCTGGTCGTTCTCCAGGGAGCCCATGTTGTCATCTGCAAAGCCAGGGACAGGGAAGGGTTTGAGCACATGGAGACACTGACGAAGCTTCCCTGGTGCATTCACAAGCTTCCCTGCTCCCTCCCGCAACATCAATGCCACTGACACTGCCCAAGACCTCTCCAGGGCAGTGAGAGGGACCCCCAGCTTTTATAGAGGTGTGACAGCAATGCCACCAGCCCCTCGGGTGACATGTGCCACCACGATCGTGATGGGAAAATGAGGTTGCACAAGAGGAAGGGGTATAAGTGATAAAGGGGGTTCCTATCTCTGGGTGGCATTGGCACTTACAGCGATCCGGTGGGGTAATGGTGATGGATTGGGCAGTGAACTCATCGTCGAAATACCGTGTGTCGATCTCGGATGTCACCTGGGGCTTGAATGGCGGGACCAGCTGGTGGAGACCGGGAGAAATGCGCTCGCCAGCAGCGTGCCAAGTGCCCGCCTGCCCCTTCACCCCCTCACAGTGCTCCCTTCCCTTCCTACCTTCTTCTGAACCACGTCCTGCCAGTTGATGGGGGCGAAGAAGCGATGTTCCATCACCTCCTTGGCGTCGTTGGGACCTCCGCCGAGCCTGCGGGCACAGAGAGGCGCGTCCAGAACCGCCAGCAGTGCCTCGGTCCCCCATCCATCCCCGGCAGACCCTCACCTCTGTTTCGGATCCTTCTTGAGCAGCCCGGCCAGCAAGGACTTGGCCTCAGGGCTGAGGGTACGAGGGAAGCGGATCTCCTCCATGAGGATCAGCTCAAAGAGGCGTTCGTGGTCCTGGTTGTAGAAGGGGAGGCGGCCACACATCATCTCGTACATCACGACCCCCAGGCCCCACCAGTCCACAGCGCGGCCGTAATCGTTGTCCTCCAGGACCTGCATGGGGAAAGACGGAGAGTGTGGTGCTGACGAGGCCGAAGAACCAGGCAGCAACATGAGGAGGGAGAAGGGAAACCCATTCTAGATACAACCACTCCTGCAACCCAAGTGTTTGGAAAAGCCCCCGCTGAGCTGCTGCCACCTTGGGCTTTGATAATAACCTCCACAAAAAAAGCCCAAGAGTTTGGAGGAAAGCCTAGCTGTGGGACTGCGTTAAGTACCTCCGGAGCCAAGTACTCGGGAGTGCCACAGAAGGTCTTCATGGTGGCTCCATCTGTGATGCCTTCCTTGCAGAGCCCGAAGTCGGTGATTTTGATGTGGCCATCTTTGTCCAGCATGAGATTTTCCAGCTGAAAAAAAAGCAGACAGGTGGGAGAAAAGGTTTGGAGCTAAGCGGAGTCGGGAGCGGGATGCTGCTTCCCAAAAGGTTCTGTCGGATGGCTGGGGTCTCGATCCGTTGCTGCGTGATGGGGACAAGGGTGACGCCTCCCCACAGGGCGGGTTCAAGCTCTCTCTGCTGAAGCCGAGCTCCCACCCTCCCTTCTGCCACAATGTGTGTGAAAACATCCCCAGACCCGGGGGGAGAGTGTCTCTTCACCACCCACAGCGAGCGGGAGTGGAGAAAGGTGGCTCACGTCAACCGAGCGCGACGCTCTGCCAGCTGAAACCCTTCAAGGCCCCTCAGGGTGATTTCTAGGGGAGCTGGGAGCAACCCCACACCCCCAAACGCCAGCCCAGGAAGATTAAAATTGTGCCGGTGCTAAGACAGAGCGAAGGCACCACTTAATGGACACTGCTGCTGCCAGGCTGGTACCTTAATGTCCCTGTACACCACATCCCGGGAGTGCAGGTACTCCAGTGCAGAGACTATTTCCGCGCCATAGAAACGTGCTCGGTCCTCTGTGAAGACGCGTTCTCTTGAGAGGTGGAAAAACAGCTTGAGGGAAAGAAAAAAAGAGAACAGCTGATCAACAAGTGCTAAAAAAAAAAAAAAAGCCAGTGAAACCCGGGTTAATCGCTCACAGCACGCAGCTAATGCAGTCATATGTGTCCTAAGCTCCTCGCCTTGAGCGGTCAAAATAGGGATGGGCCCCCCTCTGCTCTGCCGGCGGGAGCTGGGGGGAAAACGCTGCTGTGCATCGCCTGTGAGAGTGGCTGCGCGATCAGCTGCATTCCCCCTCACAAGGGAAGTGCGTTGGGGCGGAGAAACAAAGCTGGATGCGAGTGCAGGGTGGAAGGAAACAGAGCCAGTGGCGGCTGGAGGTGCCGCGGTGTCCGCAGCTCCCTGGGCGATGAGGAGGAGGGCCCCAGGGGTCCTGCTTCCTCCCCTGGACGGTTGCTTCATGCATGCGACAGCCTTGCTGCGATATCCAGTGCAAGGAAGGCAAGTGAGGAGCCAGGAAAGCTCGGGCGAGAGGAGAGCCGCTTGCTCTACCTCCCAAAACATGTGCTGAGAGGAGACTGTGGAATAAGTTGTCTGCTAATGAGCTGAAACCAACAATTTAACATGCGACAAGATTCTTCTGAGCCCAGGGGGAGCGCTGGGTCTTAAGCTCCCACCTCTCCACCATTGGCATACTCCATGACGAAGCACAGCCGGTCGTTTGTCTGAAAGGCGTATTTCAGCGCCTGCAAGAGGGGAAAACAAGGTCCGGGAGAAGCTGCGGCGCTCTGCACTTCCAGAGGGTGAGGGGAAGGGAGGGGTCGCTTTGGGGCATGCTGGGCACCCCAGCGTGCTGCCCCTTTGCTCTCTCACTGCCACCAACCGTACTTACGGTGAGGAAGGGGTGCCTGGTGTTCTGCAGCACCCGGCTCTCTGTAACGGTGTGCGCTACCTCATCCTGCAAAGGGAGAAATTAAGCGCTGTTTATCCACCATCGTTTCTGGAAAATCAGAGATTTTTCACTACTGCCAACTATTCCCAGAAAAAAAGCAGGGATGGGAGCTCGAAGCGCCAATCTCCACCCTGTTTTCATTCCCGTGGGGCAAAGTATTCGCTGACTGGATCGTCCAGAGGAGGACGTAGCCACACCGCATCCCCTGAGGGAGGCGAGCAAGTGGATCCCACGGTGTCACCCAACTGCATGTTACAACATGCGCCCAGGGTTTTGAAATAAGGATAATTCCTGGAATCCCCCACTATTTAGAGCACAGCAGGAGCCAGCCACCACTCGGCAGCTTCAGAGGTGCATTTTGAAAGCCATCCCAACATTCGGGGGGTTGGACTAGATGATCTTTAAAAGTCCCTTCCAACCCAAACTATTCTGTGATCCCCTGCCGGCTCCCGACTCTTCCCCTCATCCTCTGGGTGAG